ACCATGGGATGGGGAATTTAAAGAAACAGAAAATGGTAAATAAGGGCTAATGATTGCATCATGATTTGGATTTGGACAGACCTGGATGTGAATCCTGACTTTGCCACTTACAGCAATGACACCTTGGAGACATCACTAGAACTTTATAAGCACCTATTAGTAAAAATAGGTTACTAACATTATCTAATAGAGTTATTGCAAGGATTCAATTAGATAATGTATCTAGAGCTATTAGCACAAAGCCTAGCACATAATGAAGTATCAATAAATGCTGGTTAATAATAAGAGGGAAATAAGGATCCAACCAATTTAAAACTTATGCCCCTACCACAGTAATTTCAGAGAAGTCATGAGGATATAAATACAAATGAAATATATTAAAGAGTACATGAGAGGTGAAAAAGTAGTCAATGAGGATAAGTTGGGATATTAGGTGTGCCAGGGGTAAAAAAGAAATTGAGCATAATGCACCCCCATCCCACTTTTTAAAAAATCAGTGGTGGCTTTGTGTATGTTACTAGACTTTGGGAAACAACCAGAGAGAGACAAGTTAAAACTATGAGACAGAGGGATAATGGATAGGATCAAGAAGGGACCACTTTTTGCTGCTTCCATTGACTCTTCACTGTAGTCACTCCTGCCCAACATTACCTCTAGTTCAGCCTTTCTGAAACACAACTTCGCAAATATCACATCTCTTACTTTTTTGTCCCTGATTCAAAGACTTCAAGGAATTCCTATTGTCCCCAAACATTATTCAAATGCCTTCCCAACATTCAAGGGCCTTCATAATCTTGCTCCAACCTACTTTTACAATGTTTATTCTTTCCATAACTTGTGGACTTTTCCCTAGTTGAATTTCTCTCCTAATTCCTTTGCAGGTCTCCCTAACATAGCTTCTTTCCTTGTCTTCACTTAACCTCTCACCTCTGTCCTAGTTGATGTCAATTTAAGTCTCCCTCCCTTCAGAAAGTATTTCCTGAAACTGCATTTATCAATGACTGCCTCTTCCTTTCTAACTCTCCTGGACCTAAAGTGGAGATGACAGACCAGCCTACAAAGTTATTTTTTTAATTTTGTTTTGAGTTAGCTTCCAAATTTACAAATAAGTTTTCACACTTAGAAAATCTGAATTTCCAGCTTCTCTTGAAAAATTGGAAGATGTGTTAACACTTGGTTTATATTCCCTCCTGGCAAGAATGAGTTGGAGTTGAATGGTGATGGCTGGCCCTTTGGCTAGGGCATGCACTCAAGTTTTATTCTTATACCTGGCTTACCATACTCATCATATACACATGTGCCTGGCCCATGTCAGCATTTGAGTTTGTAACGCCAGGTCTAAACTATGCCTGGACACTTGGTAGTTATTTATCTTTGTATTTATCATGTCTCCCAGAAAAGTGCCATGTATCATGCCTATTTGGGAATCCCCACAATGACTAGCACAAAGACCTAAACATAGGAGGATACTTAGTGTAAGGTAAATGATGATGATATTGATAATGAGAACCTAGTCTGCCTTTTCTTAACTAAACCATCACCCAACAAAACTACAGTTAGCTTATTTCAAAATTAAATTCCGTGAAAAAGTATTCTATATGAGGAAATCAAACAGCCTAAGAAAGCATTAAGAGTGGGGAGGCAGTACTAAGAAGGTTGACTTGAGCAATACCAGCCCAGGTCTCGCAGCTAGAAGTTTGAAATTTATCCATTGTGATTAGTTGGTACTTGTGACTCCCATCCAAAGCTTCTTGCTGGAAGACTCTGTTGGTCCCTGTTTCCTCACTCATGTCAGACAGCTAAGACCCAAAGGCAGAAAGCAAACAAGAAAGGATGATGGATAATGGTGATGGGCACTGGGTTGGAAAAGGGACTATCTATTCATGTGGCAGTTACTTTTTCACTATATCCTCTAATGTGAGAAGGTAAAAACTGAGGCTACCCCCAACCTGGGGAACCCACAGAGTTGACTAGAGCTTTAGGGAGAGAGATAGGTCAGGATTTGAATCCAGATCATATGATTCCACAGTGAAACCGAAGAGAGGAAGATTTATCATGAAGCTAATGAAGCTTAACTTTCAGGGCCCCTTACTTAGAGGAGCCTTCTTCAATACTCTGGGCAGGAATACTACAGTAATGTGTTCATGTGGTCATTGTAAAATTTGCAAAAGTAAGATATTTTAATAGCAAATGCTTCAGAGCCTTGAGTTTTCTTGTTTGCTTTGTTTTGTTTTTGTTTTTTCAAACAGACTCTAATACCTTCCCCTTATTGGGCATTTTTGGGATCTGGCAAAGAGAAAGTTGAGTTGAGATACAATTATTTTGGGTTATATTTGTGTGATTTACAGTCATTTTCATTAGAGTTGTTATTGCTAGACATGCAGGCATAAAAATGGCTTTCAAGCATACCCCTATTACCTATTGGGGTAATACCCCTATCTGGCATTGTGACCCAACATTGTAGGGCCAGAGGTCATAACTTATTTTTTTTTAATATGTTTTCATTGATTTCAGAGAGAGGAAGAAAGAGGGAGAGAGAGAGAGAGAGAGAAAAAAAAACGATGAAAGAAACATCAATCTGCTGTCTTCTCCATGCCCCCTACTGGAGATAGAGCCCAAAACCCAGGCAAGTGCCCTGACCGGGAATCAAACTGGCAACCTCCTGGTGTACCAGACCAAGCTCAGCCAACTGAGCCACACTGGCTGGGCCAGACGTCATATCTTGATATAAGTGGCACCTAGATTGGGGAACCTGCTTGTTAGGTCTGGTTGACATGGCAACCAAAGAGTATTGTCATGTAAGGTAGGGACTGGGCCTAGGATTCTAATGTTGTGACTTATTGCTTTGAAAGACGGTTGAAAAGCCAAGTGTGAGGAGACTCAGGACCCAGTTGTGGGCTGACTCGACTCCTTCACCAAGTTGGTAGCTGGCAGAAGAAGCCCAAGAGGAGATAAAAGGTGCCTGGAGTCCCATCTGCTTTGCTTTACCATCAAGTGTATCCTTTCTTAGCAGCAGAACTGTGTCATCTGGAGTTCAGTAAAATGTAGCCGCCCAAGCAAGTTCTGTTGAGCCTCTAACTCGGGAGGCATTTGGGGAGCCTAATTTATCAGCGTAATATATTTCAGTATATGTGAATACAAAAAAGTTAGAAACAATACATGCGAAATTAATGAGAGATTATTTCTCAGGAATGAAATTAATAGAGATTTAAACTTTCTACTCTATATATGTGTATTATTTACATTTTAAAAAAGACCCACTCACATGTATTACCTTTATAATTGGAGAAACAAGATAAAAAGAATTCAAATGGGAAAATACAGGCTAATGTCAATAACTGAGGAGGCCAAAGCTTATGTTTTTCCTTCTGCCCCAACCCTCGTGAACTTCTTAGCACGAAATAATGTTCCAATACAAAAACTGGTTTTAAGAAATGCAACTCCCCCCAAACCTAATTTCACGTCTTCAAATAAAAGTAAATGCACAAACCCCTCAACATGGCATGGGAAAAGTAATTTATTTCTAAATTAGATGTCTAAATAGTTGGGACGATTTATTATTCATTAAGCCAGCACTTTTGGTAAGAAAACACTGAGCGCCTACTGTCTGGTAGACACAGTTCTCGCGGCTTTCTCGCTTAGTACCTCGTTTGATTCAAAAAAAAGAAAAACCGTTTTTAAAAAAATCAAAGGTGGTTTCAAAAAAATCCGTTACCTTCATAAAACGCGATCCCGGGAAAGGAACGGCCGGTTGGCCCGGCGCCTCCCCTCTCACGTGACCAGGTGACCCGGGCGCGATCTTAAGCATCGCCTCATAGAGGAACTACATCTCCCAGAATCCTCGCGATTGCGTCGTGCTGGCACTTTTACCGCCCGGCCTTAGAGCTGAGCCTGTAGCCGGGCGCCATCTTTGACGCTGGCAGTCTTGGATTTCGGCTGGTGTTGCTGCTGTGAGGACGGCGGAGGGCAGCGGCTAAGAAAGAAGAAAGACGTGGCAGCTAGCGGGAGTCGGGAATAGTGTCCTCGGTTCGGTAAAGTTTCTGTTCTCCGGTAACTAGACCCGTTTTTTGATTCCCGGGTTGCTTGGGGCCGGGGAGGTTGGGGTGTGGGCGAGGGGAGTGGCCGCGGCCTCCCCTCGCCCCTGGGTCGCGGCCTAGCCCGGGAAGTCATAGCGGGTCCTTCGGCCCCGCGGTAACAGCACCCCCTCCCCCCCTCC